CCTTTTTCTTTCACTCCCAGGCAGACATCATGGACCAAACCACATGAAGACACGAGCGGAGTCGATTTTCCTGCAAGATGTTCTTTGGAGGACCAAGTGCAGTTTCCCAGGCTCCAGGAGCTGAAACACTAATCACATGACATTTCTGTCTGGCCCAAGAGCTGTGCTGAGTCGTGTTGGTTCGTGCTGAGGACAGACACTGATTCCTTCATGTCAGCATGTCGGCCCTGAGCGCTGCTCAGGCACCAGAGGCAGCCAGTCCTGCCCCCCTGGAGGACAAGCCAAAGGGGAAATCCCTGTTCCCTTTGGGCTCCCTCTTTGCCAACAGGAGTGAGAGGTTTGTCCTGGCTCGGAGTGACAGTGTGCCAGAGGAGAACGTCCTCAAGATAACCATCACGGAGACGACCGTCATCGAGTCCGACTTGGGCATCTGGAACTCCCATGCTCTCATCTACCTCACCTTGTGGTTCTTCTTCAGCTTTTGCACTCTTTTTCTTAACAAATACATTCTGTCCTTGCTGGAGGGAGAGCCCAGCATGCTAGGTAACCTGCCTTGCCTTGCAATGGAATTCCAGGAGCTGGAACAGCTCCCAGGGCAGTGGTGACAGCCCCAAGCCTGACAGAGCTCAGGGAGTGTTTGGACAACAGGCACAGGGTGGATTGTTGGGGTGTCCTGTGCAGGAGTTGGGACTGCATGATCCTTGTGGGTCCTTCCAGCTCAGGACAGTCTATGATTTGACAAAAGCAGTTCTTCCTGTATAAAGCTGAGGGAAAAATGGCTCAACTGAAGTACAACGTGCCTGGTTAGGAGATGTGGGGTTGGATCGTGGGGCTGGGACCTCCTGAGTTGTGATCTTGGCCTGTACAGGTGGAACTTTGCTCATGGAGGAGTTGTAAAGTTGTGTTTAAGAGGGGGAAAATGTCATTTTTTTGTTTTCTGTGCTGAAGGGCAATGTGAGTGTTTGCAAACAGTAAAGTCTGGAGTCAGTTGTTGTTGTCTCCAGAGCTGTTCAGTGCAAACGTTGCCTGTGGTGATCTCCATTATCCAATGGGCTTAGTCCAAGAAATGTTCTTACATTGCTTTTTTTGTCAGGTTCCATCTCCTGATTTGGTTTTCTTTTCCCTTTCCTCCTCCTTTAGGTGCTGTTCAAATGCTTTCAACCACCTTCATTGGCTGCATAAAGATGTTTGTCCCATGCTGTTTGTACCAGCACAAAACTCGCATCTCCTATCCCCCCAACTTCATCATGATCATGCTCTTTGTTGGCTTAATGAGGTAAAGACTTCCTGGAATATATTTGCTGCAATTCCCTGTTTTTCTCAACAGGAGCTGTGTTTTCAGTGGCTTTTTCCATCCTTGATTTGGAAAGTGTTTGGAGTTTTCACCTTTTCCCCCACAAAAAAAAATAAAATAAAATCACAGGATCTTTTAATTTTAACTTCCTATTGTAATGTAGCCTATGTTTTGTTCATCATTTAATGTGTAATTAATATAGACTTTTAAATTTTATCTATTATCAACTTTGGTTTTGGAAAGTCACTGCTGTCAAAGACATTGCAGAGTTGCCCAAGAGTGTCTTTGTGTGCTAAATGAATAATGTTTAAACCAAAGCTGAAGGAAACAGAGCTGACTTTTCCCACCTCAGAGGTGCTGAGCAGTCAAGCTATGATTTGATTTGGTCACCACCTCCACCTATTACATCCTTAATTACTTGTTCAAGAGCAGCTCTTAGAGTATTGCTTTATTTCCTGCTTAATTTCTTCTAAGGTCCTCATTAAGCCCTTAATTTGCCTCTTCATTTCTCCTGCAGGTTTGCAACAGTTGTCTTGGGCCTTGTGAGTCTGAAGAACGTGGCAGTTTCATTTGCAGAAACTGTGAAAAGCTCTGCTCCTATTTTTACTGTCATCATGTCCAGGATGATCCTAGGGGAATACACTGGTGAGTGCTGCACTCTGGGAATGAGATTTGATTACTCTGATTTTAGTTTACTAGTTATATTAATTGGCCATGGGCAAAAAAAATCCACCAAAATATAGTAAATGCAGCTGGGAGAACACAAATACCTAGAAGTAAAAAAGGGATTTATTTTAATGCTGCAGCATAAGGACATTGTTGTTATTTTTCTGTCCAGAAAATATTACTGCTGCCTTAAATAACTGCAGTTCAGTGTGTTCCTTCCTCCAAGGACAACCTGCTGTTCAGAATTATAAATGACTGAATTTTCTCACTGTGATTAAAAGAAAAAGGCCCAAAGTGCTCACAATTTCATTGTGATTCCAATGCAATCTCATGCTGGAATAAGGCAGAGCAAGGAGAGTAATTCAATCACACACTGAACAGGGAGAGTATGATTCTCTTTTGGTATTTCTGAAAGAGGTGAAGACACTCATCAGTCCATTTTTGTCCTCCCAGGGAGATATTTGATCAGTGAATTTATGTCCATGTTACCTTCAGGTCCATCCTGCTGTTGTCTGAGGTCTCACCTCGTTACCTCTGCACAAATCCTGCTGTTGTCTGAGGTCTCACCTCATACCTCTGCACATATCCAGCCCCATGGCAGTTGCTCTGTCATTCAGCCCAAGAAGACAGGGTGGAATTTCAGCTTTCAAACACCCCAGAGTGTCAGGTGCAGTAACTAACCCAGCTGTTCCCCTTGTCCTGCAGGATTGCTGGTTAACCTGTCCCTGATCCCTGTCATGGGTGGGCTGGCTCTGTGCACAGCCACAGAGATCAGCTTCAACATTCTGGGCTTCTCAGCAGCTTTGTCAACCAACATCATGGACTGGTAAGGCACAGGGAGACTTGGGGGTGTGGAGTAAGAGTGGTAGGTTGAACAAAATTGTTGCTTGCAGTTGGTTTTGTACATCACATTTTAGTTGCTGGTGTTTAACACGTATTTCTAACAGAAGATACAGTTTGTCTCATACCTGTTGAGGTTAAAAAATGGTACAACTCTTAGTGTAAGAGTTAAACCAAACTCCTTCCTGTGGTTGCATAATGGGTCGAAAATACTTCTACCCACTTGAGAGAAACAACTTGTTCTCACGGGTTGATTAATTTGTCCTAAGTTAAGTACAACTAAGTGGTGACCTAGTTTACTTTTCTTTTTTTCCAGTTTGCAAAATGTCTTTTCCAAAAAACTTCTCAGTGGAGACAAATACAGATTTTCGTAAGTATCAGTAGCATTTCAGGTTGGTCATGCATTTATCATCATATTTGTGTTCTCAGGCTGTTCACAGACAGTTTTAACCTAAACCATTTCCTCAGGGGAGGAAAGTTACCTGTGCTCCCACTGCACTAGGTTGGACTTCCATAATTGGCTAAAACTCCCAGAATACCCCCAAAAATCATATTTTCACAGACATGAATCCTTAGCCTGCAGTCACAAACCATCCCTTAATATTACTAGGGAAACCAACTTCAGAACCAAACTGGTGTTTTAACTCTGAAACATGAGCCAGGAGCGAAGTCTTGTGTCAAAAAACCACCTTGAGCAATGTGCATTTCATTTGCCATGAGACAAAATGCTACTCTTGGGCTTGAAAACATTTGCCTTTTAGCTTCAGGCCCTCTCAGCCTGCACAAAGCCCAAACCACATCTGTGCAAGAGATGGATTTGGTGTCCCCAGAGCTTGGCAAATGGCTTTTACTGCATCTTCTCTACCCACAAGTCCAGCAGTGATGTGCTTTGTTCAGCCCTGAGAAAGAGGAAGCTTTTAATCACTTCACTCACTGTTTTTTCCCCTTGACAGAGCCCCAGAGCTCCAGTTCTACACAAGTGCTGCTGCAGTGGTTATGCTTATCCCAGCCTGGATATTTTTCATGGTAATTTGAATTCACTAGCATGGATTTAGGTTTTCTTTTTGACTTCTGAACAGAATGTGCACCTAAGGTTCATCTTCAATTTTACCTTTGATTCCTCTCCTTTTATTAAATCAGCCTGAAATACATTTCATTTAGGTTTGCAGGGGATTGGGCAGAGAAAAAAGCAATTTTTCCAAGAAGTCATTTAACACAGACATGAGCTGACCCAAGAAGCCTGAGTTTACCTCAGGCTCTTTGAGATAAATCCTAACTTGTCTAAGTGCATTTGCAGTTTTAGATAAAGACTTGAAAACAAAACCTTTGTTTCATTCACATGATGTGCAGGAAAATTCACTCTATGAAAGCAAAATGAGCTAAACTAAGTATAATATAGGAGGTTAATTATGTGTCCTTTGGATTCTGACATTTCACTGCTGTTTACTAGTGCTCTAAAAAGATTTTGGGGGAATATCTTTAGGATCTAAATGTCTTGTAATTTGTTTTGTCTTGTGTTTGGTTTAGGTTTTGTTTTGCTGAAGTGTAAATGTAAAACTGTATCTGCTTATAACAGTAAGTTGGGTGGAAAATCACTTTTGGATTTGCTTATCAACTAAACTCTTAAATTTCTTCTTTTTTTGCTGTTTAGGATGTGCCTGTGATTGGGAAAAGTGGGAAGAGCTTCAGCTACAACCAAGATGTTGTCATACTGCTCTTAATAGATGGAGTTTTGTTCCACCTGCAGAGTGTCACAGCCTATGCCTTGATGGGTAAAATTTCTCCTGTGACTTTCAGGTAAAACTGGATTCTTTTATAGGCTTTTTATTTCTTGTTCAGTATTTCTGCTTGAGAACTAGGCAGTAAAGGTGCAAAGAATAACGAGTAAGGTAAATGAGAATGGTCAGGGTTGGAAGTGGAATTGGAGTTGGGTGTTTCAAAGGAAGCAGAGCAGATCTTGCATAGAGTGTGGGGTGTGACAAAGCTTTCCTTGGCCGTGACTGCTGTGTCTCCTTGCAGTGTTGCCAGTACTGTGAAGCATGCACTGTCCATCTGGCTCAGCATCATTGTGTTTGGAAACAAAATCACCAGCCTGTCAGCCATCGGCACCGTCCTGGTCACCATCGGCGTCCTGCTCTACAACAAGGCCAAGCAGCACCAGCAAGAGACTCTGCACAGCTTGGCCACTGCCCCCTCACAGCCCTCACAGGCTGCCACTGAGGACTCTGAGCCACTCATTCCCAAGGATTTGGAACCCTATGACTAGCACAACCCAGTGGAACTCCAAAGCTTCCTCAGAGTGGCTCTTGAGGATGTTTGGTTGCTTTGAGTTAGTGGCAGGTCGAGCCTGGGACTTGAAGGAGCTGGGAAGGATCCAGTCAGCTTTGATGTCCTGACAAACTGATGCACCAAGCAGAGGAGCTGGTGGTAAATGTGGTAAATGTGGACTTAATTGTCTCTCCTTGACTGCAAATCGTGTACAAGCCTAGAGTAGTGAGAGAACTTCAATGTCCTGTGGGAAAACAGCTCCAGTCTCCCTCCCCATCAGCATACTGTGAAAACATGGGCCCATCACTGTACTCTGCTGGCAGTGGCATGAAACTGCTGCATAACTGACATTCCCACTTGTTACTCTACATTCCCTGCGTCCTCCAGCATTCCTGAGCTGGAAGAGGGAACCTCCTTCTCTCCCAACAACTTTACTCTGGCATATGTTTAGCTGAAGCAAATTATGGGAGTGAGTTCATGCCCCAAAGCAGAGGTTGAGTAGCTGTTTGTGACTACAAATTAGGAATGAAAAGTGATTTTTTTCCACAGAAATTCAACATGGAAATATTGCATCCTGCCCATGCATTGCCCATATTGAACTGCAAACACTCACCCCTGTCCATAGGTTGTATAAAGGGAGTGTTGAATTCAGTACTTGCAGTTGCCTAGAGGTAAGAAACACTGAAAATGTTGGTGATAAAGGAAACAGGATCTCTGTATTCCTGTGAGAAACCATTTTAATGTGTTCATGTCTTGTATTTTTACTATGTGTTTCTGTTCTGAGGGAATACATTGATTTTTATTTTTTTGGGGGGGTATTATTTCTAAGAGTTGCCTCTTAGAAACTCAGGGTTATGATTCTGACCTGTGTGTAAAATATTTCTGCTTATGTAAAGAATCTCAGAAAGATCTGTGGCAGATGGAAGAGAAGTCACTGAAGGGAGGAATATTAACCATAAACTGAGGCAAATCTTCATTTATCCTCTTTTTAAAGGAAACTCTGTTTTGTGGTAGGTCAGAGATGAAATATTAACTTTCTTTTTAAGGATCACAATTAGTTTGGGGAAAAAAAAAAGCACATTCAAATGGACTTTTGGGAACAAAATGAATGGTTAAAATGAGCTGATTTTAATCATTTCCACTCTTCTGGAAGATTGTAGCATGGACATAGTGATCTGTGTGGTGAACATTACTGTCAGTAGGAAGTTACCAGTGGAGTTGTGTAAAGTTTAGGCTCATGGTTATGTTTCCATTAGTGAGGAGTTCTGTTAGCTGTAGTGAACTGTTCCTGCAGAGAGCAAAGTTGTGTCCCAGAGCCTCTGTGGAGCAGCTGCTTCAACAGTGTTGGCTTGTTTGGTCTCCTGCTCACTGCAGGTTCCATTCCCACACCTGATGTTGCCTGGGGCATCTTCCCCACAGGTCTGGGCAGGAGGAAATGCCAGTCCTCTCATCCTGTATGTGACATGTCTGTGGTATTTTGTTTCTTTTGTACTCCTGTCACTTTTGTAAAAGCTGTGGACTGTGGTGTGGAGCTCTGTGGGTGGTTTCTGGTTTGTTTTCTGAGATTTTTTTTTGCAAGTATAATTACAAAAAAGAGGAAAACAAAGTCTGGTTTGCATCCTATTTCTGCTCTCAGGTAAATCCCAAGATCAGCTTTGTTGTACAACCTACCAGGCCTTTGCCTTTCCTCTTGCTGAAGAGCTTTGTGACCCAAACACACCCTGGGAGGGTTCTCCAACACCTGTGGAAGCTCAGGAGTGGCTGGTTGAGCTCCACCTGCTCTGTGGCAGCACAATAATCCTGTTCTGCTTGGGTTTGTCTTCAGTGTTGATCTTGTGTGCTTTTCTAGGCACTCACTCCTCTTGGCCCTTGTTTTTAGTAGATTAAATCACCTTCTTGAGTGTTCACTTGGAACACATTCTGTTCCTCCAGCCATACCAGCATTTCTCCTTTCCTGTTGGGTAGACAAGGAGCATTTTGCTCTGTGTTAAGAATTCATGAGTGTTACACCTCAGCTCACTGCTTGTCACTGCTGTAACCCCTAACCAAGGTCCTCCAGCACCAGATCCAGACACCTCTTCCACACCTCCAGGGATGGGGACTCCACCACCTCCCTGAGCAATACCCCAGTGCCAAACTCTTCCAGCAGTTAATGTGTTTCTCAAATGTCATCATTTCCCAGCTGAAATGAGGGGTGGATAATTAAGCAGTGGTACATAATGATCTTTCCTGTCATATATTGTGTTCTATCTAGTTGTCAGTCACTGACCATATCTGTGTTACCTTCTACCTGCACACTCATTTCCCATTTACTGATGTTTTCACCCTAAATTCATGTCTGTTTTCACCCTAAATTTATATCTATTTTCACATCAAATTTATGTCTGTTTTCACACTAAATTCATGTGTTTCCACACTAAATTTATGTCTGTTTTCACCCTAAATTTGTCTGATTTCACACCAAATTCATGTGTTTTCAGGCTAAATTCATGTCTGTCTTCACCCTAAATTCATGTCTGTTTTCAGGCTAAATTCATGTCTGTTTTCAGGCTAAATTCATGTCTGTTTTCAGGCTAAATTCATGTCTGTTTTCAGGCTAAATTCATGTCTGTTTTCAGGCTAAATTCATGTCTGTTTTCAGGCTAAATTCATGTCTGTTTTCAGGCTAAATTCATGTCTGTCTTCACCCTAAAATCATGTCTGTTTTCAGGCTATATTAATGTGTGATTTCACACCAAGTTCATGTCTGTTTTCAGGCTGTATTAATGTCTGTTTTCAGGCTGTATTAATGTCTGTTTTCAGGCTGTATTCATGTCTGTTTTCAGGCTATATTCATGTCTGTTTTCACCCTAAGTTAGTCTGTTTTCACCCTAAATTTGTTTTCACCTTAAGTTTGTCTGATTTCACACCAAATTCCTGTGTTTTCACCCTAAATCTATGACTTTTCACCCTAAATCCAAGTCTCTTTTCACACCAAACTCATGTCTGTTTTCACCCCAAATTCGTCTGTTTTCACGCCATATTTGTTTTCACCCCAAATTTGTGTTTTCACCCCAAATTCATGTCTGTTTTTACACTGTATTTGTCTGTTTTCATGCTATATTTGTTTCCACGCCAAGTTTGTGTTTTCACGCCATATTTGTCTCTTTTCTCCCCAAATTCATGTCTGTTTTCACCTCAAATTCATGTCTGTTTTCATGCTATATTTGTTTTCACCCCAAGTTTGTGTTTTCACACCATATTTGTCTGTTTTCGTGCTATATTTGTCTGTTTTCACCCCAAGTT